AGAAAAGTCAATTTTTGGCCAATTTTGACTAAAAATGTAAGGCTAACCCCTTACATTTTTTTCAATTTTGGCCAAAAAATGAAATGTCTTGAAAGTTGCTAGAAAGATGCCTTAAGGGCCGTAGAACGCATTCCAAATCGATTACTGGACATATGTGCTATTAAAGGGGTAATTCCGCCGAAAAAATTAAGGTAAAATCGCTAAAAGATATTAATTTTTCTCAAAAAATTGATGATTTTTGCCCAAATCTTCCAATTTATGCGTGTTAGAGTATTGATTGATGTTCCTCTTGCATTCAGATGAATTTCTGCCTTGTTTTGAGAAAAGTCAATTTTTGGCCGATTTTGACTAAAAATTTAAGGCTAACCCCTTACATTTTTTTCAATTTTGGCCAAAAAATGAAATGTCTTGAAAGTTGCTAGAAAGATGCCTTAAGGGCCCTAGAACGCATTCCAAATCGATTACATGTACTGGACATATGTGCTATTAAAGGGGAAATTCCGCCGAAAAATGTAGGTAAAATCGCTGCAAAAATGAATGTTTTTTCTTCCAAAAATTGATGATTTTTGCCCAAATCTTCCAAATTATGCGTGTTAGAGTATTGATTGATGTTCCTCTTGCATTCAGATGAATTTCTGCGTTGTTTTGAGAAAAGTCAATTTTTGGCCGATTTTGACTAAAAATGTAAGGCTAACCCCTTACATTTTTTTCAATTTTGGCCAAAAAATGAAATGTCTTGAAAGTTGCTAGAAAGATGCCTTAAGGGCCCTAGAACGCATTCCAAATCGATTACTGGACATATGTGCTATTAAAGGGGAAATTCCGCCGAAAAATGTAGGTAAAATCGCTGCAAAATTAAATTATTTTTCTCCAAAAATTGATGATTTTTGCCCAAATCTTCCAAATTATGCGTGTTAGAGTATTGATTGATGTTCCTCTTGCATCCAGATGAATTTCTGCCTTGTTTTGAGAAAAGTCAATTTTTGGCCAATTTTGACTAAAAATGTAAGGCTAACCCCTTACATTTTTTTCAATTTTGGCCAAAAAATGAAATTTCTTGAAAGTTGCTAGAAAGATGCCTTAAGGGCCGTAGAACGCATTCCAAATCGATTACTGGACATATGTGCTATTAAAGGGGTAATTCCGCCGAAAAAATTAAGGTAAAATCGCTAAAAGATATTAATTTTCTCCAAAAATTGATGATTTTTGCCCAAATCTTCCAAATTATGCGTGTTAGAGTATTGATTGATGTCTCTGTTGCATCCAGATGAATTGCTGCCTTGTTTTGAGAAAAGTCAATTTTTTTGCCGAATTTGACTAAAAATATCAGGCTAACCCCTTACACTTTTTTTCAAATTTGGCCAAAAAATGAAATTTCTTGAAAGTTGCTAGAACGATGCCTTAAGGGCCCTAGAACGCATTCCTAATCGATTGCTGGACAGATGTGCTATTAAAGGGGAAATTCCGCCGAAAAATGTAGGAAAAATCGCTCAAAAATCAATGTTTTTTTTCCAAAAATTGATGATTTTTGCCCATATCTTCCAAATTATGCGTGTAAGAGTATTGATTGATGTTCCTCTTGCATTCAGATGAATTTCTGCGTTGTTTTGAGAAAAGTCAATTTTTGGCCGATTTTGACTAAAAATGTAAGGCTAACCCCTTACATTTTTTTCAATTTTGGCCAAAAAATGAAATGTCTTGAAAGTTGCTAGAACGATGCCTTAAGGGCCCTAGAACGCATTCCAAATCGATTACTGGACATATGTGCTATTAAAGGGGAAATTCCGCCGAAAAATGTAGGTAAAATCGCTGCAAAATTAAATTATTTTTCTCCAAAAATTGATGATTTTTGCCCAAATCTTCCAAATTATGCGTGTTAGAGTATTGATTGATGTTCCTCTTGCATTCAGATGAATTTCTGCCTTGTTTTGAGAAAAGTCAATTTTTGGCCGATTTTGACTAAAAATGTAAGGCTAACCCCTTACATTTTTTTCAATTTTGGCCAAAAAATGAAATGTCTTGAAAGTTGCTAGAAAGATGCCTTAAGGGCCCTAGAACGCATTCCAAATCGATTACATGTACTGGACATATGTGCTATTAAAGGGGAAATTCCGCCGAAAAATGTAGGTAAAATCGCTGCAAAAATGAATGTTTTTCTTCCAAAAATTGATGATTTTTGCCCAAATCTTCCAAATTATGCGTGTTAGAGTATTGATTGATGTTCCGCTTGCATCCAGATGAATTTCTGCCTTGTTTTGAGAAAAGTCAATTTTTGGCCAATTTTGACTAAAAATGTAAGGCTAACCCCTTGTTTTTTTTGAAATTTTTGTCCAAAAAATGAAATTGCTTGAAAGTTGCTAGAAATATGCCTTAAGGCCCCTAAAACGCATTCCAAATCGATTGCTGGACAGATGTGCTATTCAAGGGGAAATACCGTCCAAAAATTAAGGTAAAATTGCTCAAAAATACCTTTTTGTTCCTCTAAAAATTGATTATTCTAGCCCAAATCTTCAAAATTGTGCACGTTAGAGGATTGATTGATGTTCCTCTTGCATCCAGATGAATTTCTGCCTTGTTTTGAGAAAAGTCAATTTTTGGCCAATTTTGACTAAAAATGATTGTTTTTTTTTTTAATTTTGGCCAAAAAATGAAATTGCTTGAAAGTTGCTAGAAAGATGGCATAAGGCCCCTAAAACGCATTCGAAATCGATTGCTGGACAGATGTACTATTCAAGGAGAATAAATGAAAATGAAAAAAATTAAATAAAAAATCACTCAAAAAATGGATTTCTTTTTCTCAAAAAATGGTATTTTTGCCCAAATCTTCAAAATTGTGCATGTTAGAGTTTTGGTTGATGTTATTCCATATTTTGGCCATTTTTGGAAACGTAAGGGTAACCCCTTGCATATTTGTCAATTTAGGCCACAAAATGAAAATGCTTGAAGTTGTTAGAAAGACCCGTCACCCCCCCCCCCCCAAAAAAAAATATAATTACTTTTTCTGAATAAAAAAATATCAATAAGTACATGAACGAAACAAAACAGATGGAAACAGAAGGCGGCATTGATTTTTGATGAGTAAATCTCATTTTAATGTTCTTTCAACCTGTATAAAATAATAACATATGTTCTTTGTTACAATGTTGCTCTGGATGCATAAAAATTCACGTTAAAAAAGGCACAAGTTTATATTATAAAATGGGACACCTTCTGTTTACACGGGTACGTTAAAAAGGATTGCTTGAAATACTTTATCCAGAAAAATAGCTGAATTAGTTACTTAACATTGATTGAAAATTGAATGGACAATTTCTTATGGTAATTACACGACTGTTAAATTGGGGGATGAGGAAATCTGGCCAATGTTGTCAAAAATGCAACATCACAGTTTTTGAAAAGCGGATAAACCTCTAACATGAAACAATGTTTAAAATAAAAATATTATAATGCTGTTATTAAGGAATAACTTTTTACTGATCATTAAATGCATGATTGTTTACGTTTTGTATATTTACATATCAACCAATTAATACACAAATAGTTTCAATACTAATAATCACATTACAAATGTACAATTATGAGGTGATTTTATTTTCTGAGAAAAAATTAAATGATTCAAAATTTCGCAAAAAGAAAAAGGAAATTGGTCTTCCGCCATCTATAGAGTACTCACTTTGACTTCAAAAGAAATTATCAAAAATACCACTGCATAGAAATCGCATGGACTGGCACAAAATTGAACAAAATAGCATTTTTTTCACACCAAGTAAACTGCAAAATGAAGAAACGATAAAAAATATTAGAAGCATTGCAAGACACAAATTCCACAACAGCCAGCTGAAACATAATGCAGGGAAAAATGTGTAGAAATTCCATCAGTATATGATTGAAGTAAAAATAACAATAACAATAAAAAATAAAACAATAATAAAGAAATACTTGACCCTGTGTTTTTTATTAAGCATTTCACAATGAGATGAAATGCTGTACTTAGAAGCAAGAAAATGGTATCAGAAATTCATAAATTGGTTTTGGTTCAATAAATTCCTTGAAAAAGTTGCTTTAGTCATTCTCAAAAACAAAATTGTTTCGTAACTACATGTAATTGAAGAGTTTATTTCCAATATGCAACATATCCATTTGAAAAAGGTGAATATTTTGCACGGTTATGAAACGTTAAAGAATTAAAACAGCATAACAGCTGTTTCTAAACTTAATTGTTCGCCTTAATGTATTCTTAAGTTGTGTTGAATGTAGAAGTAAAGATCGGGGGGGGGGGGGGGGGGGGGGCAGCATGACGTCAGTTTACATCAGTGGCTATGTGTATTACCATTCAGCACTCTAGTATTTTTCATCGGTTGCTGTGTGTTAACAATCAACACTCCAAACTCAAGAACCATTGAGTTTCAAGAACATAGGTCTGGGAGCTAGTTAGGCCAATGTAAAACATTCCTGCATGTCCGCACTCACGTAACAGTCGATTCTTGTTAATACAAACTCGTTCGGACCTAGCCAAGTTGTTTGTTATATCAGAATTTTATATTAAGAGGAACATCAGTTCCATTCATTGTGCACATAAATGCACAGTTGGGACCAAGGCTTTATGTTTGTTATAACCAGAATTTGTATTAACAGTGTTTGTGCTATAACGATCGACTGTAACAGCCTTCAAAATTGACTTTAGACAGCCAGCAGAGAGTGGGATTCCAAAAGAGAACAAAATGACGTACATCGCGTTTATGAAATAAAGACATCTATAGACCATTATCATGTTGCGGCCATCTTGATTTTTTTCCATTCAAATCAACGTAACCAAAGCAAGGCTGGAAGGGAACTAGTCTGGTTCCTTTTTGCACAAAAACCATTATCATTCAGTACAGTTATTGGATACAGGGAACATGACTGAAATGGTGGCAGCATGATCAAGGTCTATTGGAGTCCTCTCTTGACTCACAAAACGATTTAGCACTGCAACAGATATGCAAATGAGTTTAACAAACCAATGCATGTGATTGGGTAATGATAACCATGAATATGAATATTCAATACATGTACTTTCAAATCAATGACCATTGGTAAACAGTGTGGCAAAATTATCTCAAATTCATCACTAAAATGTCAATCCAATTGACTGTACGTGTATATCAGATTTAATGAGAATTATGACCACCCACATGATTATGAAAAACAATCAACTGAAATTTGCAAACTAAATCATATTTTTTTTGTCTGTGTTGTTCATAACTGAACTCCACAAGACGTGATTAGTGCATTACAAAAGCCAATGCTGTGAAAACGCAAGCAGAAGCTGCCACTCAGAAAAGTGTAATAAAAATAATGCTACACCTGCCAAAATGCAGGGGGGTTGCTCTTGCACAATAACACAGCCTGAAAGCGAAACACTACCATTTACATAGCCCACATCATGCCTCTTCCGCCTGCTGTTCCATCTTTGGTTCTTCCTCCTGCTGGGCTTCCTGCGTTTGTGCTTGCTCCTCTGGCTTAGTAGTCTCCTCTTCAGCCTGGTTAGTCTCCTCTTTGTCCTGGTTAGTCTCCTCTCCAGCACCTTGTGTTTCTTGCTCCTTTTGCTCATCTGTTGGACTCCTCCGCTCCTCTCTTGATTTTGTTCGTCTTCTTTCGTTCCTGGATGATTTACGACCTGAGCGGCTTGTTCCATTAGCTTCAGCTTCCTTTCTTCTCCGCTATAACAAAAAAAAGGAAATGGTCAAAATTTAAAGAAAAATTGTTTTGATCCTACAAAACTTTTCCATTTTAATTTGTTTTAAGACAGCCAGAAAAAAAATGGTTTAACCGATTTTGTCATTGTACCTCCCCAAAATGCCCTGCCTGTTACTTCTTAAACTGCATGCTCAAAATTAATGATAAATAAATAAATACAATAAATAAAAGTAAAGTCTGTCACGAGCCAATGTGGCCCATCAGACCGGTGTTTCAGCAGCATTAAAATGATTGAGAATATTCTTCTCCCCTGGATGGGATGCTATAGTCCATCGCAGGTTAATAACGGTACCCATTTGTACTCCTGGGTGGAGGGAGGCAAGTGGGGTGAGGTGGCTTGCCCAAGGACACAACATGACCAGCAGCTGGATTCGAACCCACTGATCATGATTCACAAACCCTATACCACTAGGCCACATTCCCCAAATACAGTGTTATACAATTTAATACGAGGGCTAATAAGTTCAGCACAGGTTCTAAAGCATTTGACTTTCTTTTTCAAAATGTAGTTTTTAGCATCGATTTGACATATTCCCATTTTGCATGTACCAGACACAAGCTAATGTATGGCACACTTAAAAAGGCCAGCACGCAACAAACTATATTTAGATAAATCATCAATAATTCAGCCATTGATAGACCAGCTGCTCCTTCGCAGTTCTCGGAAGTGTTTGATGAAGGCGGCTCTGTCTAATTATGACACAATTTTCTTACAAAAAATATTGATCGTACAGCCAGGTTGCATGTTGACACCCTAGAATTTTTCGAGCGCTTCGTCTTCACTAATTATTACCATCTTGTGCTTGAAGAGCCAGCATCGATTTGCAAGATGTATTTTTTGTTGTAATGGTTTGCTGTGTTTGGAGAATTTAATAATTATTCTCAAAGCCTTGGTACGCGTATGCTGTTAAATCCACCAAGTTGGATACAGCTAGAGGAAAAAAGAGGACTAAGAATTTTTTTGTGGGGGGGGGGGAGAAATATTTATATTTATCAGTTTAAATTTTAAAACTTAAAATTCCATCTTTCATAGTTTAAAAAATGTTGTCGAACTCAAATGCAGTATTATAATGACAATGGTACTGCTTGATTTGGTTTTTAAAAATATAATTTTGTCTCAAAAAGATCATTATGAAGTACTCAACCTAATAAATTCATAATGTTTATGTTAAGCTTTGATATTAACCCTCTTGCTTTTTAGCTGACTTGAAAAACTTCCTGGAATGTTTTTCATAAAAAATAATCTCTCACTCTTTTATTTGCACGGGACTAAATGTATCGCCTAGCTGGCTTGACAGTCTTTGATAAGTTCTGCAGTTTAAATGCAACGGGCAATTAAGATAAAAACCCTCATTGAAATTTTGATGTGTTGCCATGGCATCTCTGATAATAAGTACGGCTGGTAAGTGACGACCTTAGAACTAATGTGTTGCTAGGCAACTCGTGACAGTGGGCTAGAAAATGCTCATGCTAGTTGAATCAACAGGTCGATAAGTACCTACTCAAACCTACAAAAAATATGAATGACAATCAATACCAGTAATACTTAAGATGTGTAGAAAATAAAAAAATTAGGCTGAGGAAAATTATTGCCTATATGTCTAAAATGCAACGGGAAAAGAACAAATTACAAAAAAAATTGATATTTGACATAGTGTTCATTGCCATATGTTATTCCAATCTCTTAGGGTCATTAAAATTCTCGTACAACTTTAATAATTTCTCCGGGTCATTTTTTTGACATTGTGGTGTTTTCTGGAAAAGTGTGACTGAATACACACATTTAAATAATAACAGGAAGAAAAGGAAAACAGGGGGGTCATTTAATAAACAAAGGGAGAAGGTTTTGATTGTTTACAAAAAATTAATGAAGAATTTATTTCCAAAATGTAATAAACGCCGTCCTGTAATCTTTTGAAATCCTGCTCTCTCCTGGTTGTGCAAAATCAGTTTCGAGGGGTTTTATAGTTAAACACAATATAAAAACGAAAAACGAAGTTTAAAAACAGCTGTTATATTGTTTTATTCTTTAAACTTTGATAAACTGTAAGCAATTGTTTAACTTTTTCTCAAACGGATATCTCGTGTTTTGGAAATAAAGTCTTCAAAAGATCCTTTTTAATGAATTGTCTCTCTGACATGTGTGTGAGTTTCAGGCCAACCAGGGACATCCTGGGTCGAGCAACTGGGACCGACCAGCAAGGTTGACAGCTCTGCAACCAGGCTACAAACCGCGGACACATGCGGTAGAGTGAGTGAGTGAGTGAGTGTTATTTGAAAAATTCGACTCACCTCTTTGGCCTCTGCCCGCATTCTCTCTTGTTCCTCTTGTTCCAATTCCCACCAGTTTCTAGGGTAGCGAGCGATGTTATCCATAAATGCTTCGTTCTCCTCCCATTCCCGTTGCCACTGTTGATGGTTATACTCTGGCTCCCGCGCTAGGATACGCTTCAAGATCTCCTGGTTCTCCCGTGTCACTCGCAACAGCTCACGTTGTCGTTTCTCTTTGTTCAGACTGCAACGTAAAGATTCACTCCAAAGGTTAAACAGTTTCTTTAAGTATTTTACTGGACTGTTTCGGTACAGTTTGTCCTCTTTCACTTAAGTACTCTCTTTCATTGACATTAGAATCATCACAAGTTTTTCTCTGAAAACAAGGTTTTTATTTAATTTTATGAAGATGTTGGATCATCTGTGAGTGCAATAAGGCCATTTTTGAAAAAAAAATTAGAAATGAGGTCAAAAAGACTTTATACAATTGTTTTTAATTCAATTCAAGTGAAGTTAGACAATACTGATTTCATTTTATGAACGTGTTCAGTTATTTCCAAATCTCATTTTGATAGTTATGAAGCAAATATAGGATGAGGCCATTACCTTCTATGGATGTAGTTGTTTCTGTGGTCGACCCGTCCGGTAGTCCTCATAATCTCCGACATCTTCTCAAGAAGAATGCGATTGTCTCTCTCAATGACGGACAAACGCTCCTCCTCAAGCTGATTAGAGAAATAAAAACAGAAATAAAATGTGCGCCAATTTACAAATTTTCATACAAGAATTTAAGTTTCAAACACCATTCGTTCTTCAATATGATCCACTGTTCTTAACAAAATTGATAAGAAGAATAATGTTACATCTCAACGGTTGGCTCAACTGTTACATACCTATTTTACATCAGTAAAAAGTTAAATCCTAGTTGTTTGATAAGGTATGTGGTCTTTCACATACTCACTCACTTCAAAACTTAAGCAAGTTTAAAAGAAAATTAAGTTCATACATGTACATCCTAATCATATGCAGGCAGGTAAAATTTCAACTTCACAATTTTACATAAAAATAAAAATGACTCTTTCGTTTAAACCATCCTCACCTGTAGTTTCTTCAGCTTCAGATGTAGATGGACATAGGTTGTTGGGGCTTTTGTGTCAACCATCGGTTGGGCCTGGCGCACCTGTTAATAAAATTAATTGATTGATTATTTCTAATTCAATTCAGAAAAATAATGGTTCGACCAGACCAAGAAGTAAATATGATTTCTGTGCGACTTTATTCCAGTCTTCTGCCCAGCCATACAACCGTATACTTTTCTACACAGTTTACAAAATATATTCCTAAATTATTAATACAAAAGATCCTGAATTGAAAGGATTGCATTTTTAATTTTTTTTTTTATAAATTACAGACATTCCAATTATGTTTCAATGACAGAAATAAAAGCTATCATTTGTAACACTTAAAAGCAAATGACGACTTGTACACGCCACTGTTCCGCCTGAAACAAATCAAGTTTATCTATTTGTTCAGTGTACGTTGAAGGGTCCTTGAGCAAAGACTAAGCCTATCTGGGCAGGCTGAAGTACACGACGCAGAGTTGATTAATTGCGATGCCGATGAAACAAGTCTGGGAAAGTGCCCAGACTGCTTCGGTTTGAAGTGTTTACTGCTCATGGTCAGGTAATTAACAAGTCCCTCGATGGACTTTTGGGTTGTTTTCTGGGAAAAACATGTGTAAATATAGTACAATCTACAATGGGGTGCTTCTGTTTGGCAGATACTGAACTGATTTCTTCTGAGGTTTACAGCGAACGCAGAGCACAAAGCGACGCCGCTTGGCATTTCGCGATGTTGCCGCTGAGTTTTATACAGCAAGCATTAAACACAAAGTAAAAGGCAAAACACTAGGGGATGTATTTTGACGATAATCTCACGCATTTTTGATATCATTCCCCAATATTGAAAATTACGATACTTCAATATGATTAAAAAATTGATATCGGCGATAACGATATTGTAATAATATAGAACGATCGAGTAATATCGATGTATCGGCGGTGCTTACCCAGGATGCCTTGCCAATTATATTCAGCAGAATGCCACTTAAAACTTATGAAAGTAATTTTTTTACTTGTTAAAAGTTCTCTGCAATGAGGGTAATGGGAAACTCAACTTCATTTTGCCCCCAGTTATATATAAGAAAGGTTTTGTAAAGCTTAAAATCAAAACAATTGGCAACGAACACATCTAACAAAATGAACTTCTGAAAGTTTCACTTGATTCCGGAAAAAAATCGCACAACATGAGAGCTAGAGTGCAGCCAAAGTCGTTTGAAGTTCATATTTCAATAAGTTGGGGTATTCAACCTATCACAGTAAACACGATCTTCACTGTAAATGCATTGCAAGTGTTTGCAATGCCATCAACGAAACTTGGGTCAACTTGACCCAACTTGATACAAACCTTCTGCAGGTGTTCCTCGTAATATTTTTGGTCCCATCTCGCCTTCAGGATCCTACTCTGGCACGGCAGAGTCGACTGATAAGACTTATGCATGATTACACCCTGCTTCACGCCGTGTCTAGACGGTCTTAAAAAACAGCACTTCGCGGTGAAATTCTAGCGAAGAAACTACGAGAAATTACACCACTCTTGTTTGGGGTTCGTCCGGTGCAGCCAAACTCAATACGCCAATGTGTAATGCATACACCTGCGCCGCACGGTCGGTAACTAGGCAATCAATTATGCGGCGGCGGCGTGTGGCTTCTGTTTAGTCACATGACGCGGAAGTGTAACTACGGTGGTTACGAGGCTGGTGGCGCGACGACTGTTGTATATTGGCGACGGCTGTTTTGTGACTCGCACTTTTAACTCGGTGCAGGACAAAATGCTTACCCGGGAAATTTAAAAATGCTCTCCTTGGATGTGATGAAAAATAGCAATGGGATGAAAATATATGCGGATATTAAAATAAAGGACTCCCTAAAATTTAAAAAAAAAGAGGTGGGGGGATCATAATTAAGTTAAGAAAGTCACGAAAGGATGAACATTATAACATTATAGCATTATTAAAGGGTTATTTTATTTATTTGTCATTTCAGTCAATTGTTTCAGTCATTAAATTATTAAATGATTACTTTGAATTCAGTTATTCCATGGTGTTTTGTTTTTAATAAGTTAATGACATTAACAGGCAATCTTTAGCCTTTGGGCATAAACACTCCTGAGCTTTGCATAAAAACTGTCCACTAAAATAAAATTCACAATTTATCATTATATGTCCCCCACAGGGGGTACATATTGCATAAACATCTGCTTTCTGTATCAATTAAGCAATATATCATGTCATTTTTTATAAGCAATTAAAGTTAATGTGTCTGTTATGAAATACAAAAGGTACTAGTTATTGTAACAAATGGAAAAAAACATCTATCTATACATTAGAGAGTGGCCAGATATGTCATACTAGCAAGGATTTTTTTCAGAGCCAAAAAAAAAAAAAAAAAATTATAAATTTGCCACTTTTTTTGGGGGGGGGGGGGAGTAACACAAAGTAGTAACAGCTACGTGATATGCTATTAGAAGGTAAAATATTTTCACACATCAAAAAACGCTCCATTTTAGAACTAAGCAATTTCTAGCCCTGCTCCGTCCCAAGTTGGTTTTCCAGCCTCGATTTCCTTGAGCTTTTCTTATAATCTCTACTGCTATTTCATACCGTTCAAATATTTCAAATATTCAATTCAACTTCACATTTATTTCCATGCTTCTCGAAGAAAAATATCTATGTATACAATATACAAACTTTACTAGAGAAGGGTTAAACCATGAAGCAGTAAATATCAAATTAACAACAAAATAAAAAAAGCAAATAGAGCATGGTGCTGTTTTAATAAGCAGAAGCTTGTGGAAAACAGGCCACAGAAACAACACAGGACAAACAAACAAACAAACAAACAAAAAACCAACCAACAAACAAACAAAGACATTGCAATGGTAAGCACACACGAGACAAGGAACATTAAACTGATGATGTCAGAGGCAAAACGATGAATAGATGGCAAAAAGCTGTATGAGCAAAAAAAAAAAAAAACCAAACAAACCAACGATAAACAAACAAAAACAATATTTGAGGGATAAAGAAACGTAGTAGACTCAATCAGGAGAGACATCTCATCAGACCAGCTTATTTCATTCTCTGGTTTTACTACTGAATACCTTCACAGGTGTATAATGTTGCAAGTCCAACACAAGTCCAATCATATGTAAATCTCAAGTTCATCACAAGTCCAGTCACAAGTAACAGTGGATGAACAATAACAAAGGAATGCCTTTATCGAAGCTCCTTTGAATAGCTTGTGAGTTGAATCGGGCCTGGAGGACTTGTGATGGACTTGCAGGGACTTGTGATGGACTGGACTCCCTGCATGGTGTTACATTATGGAAGCATCGTGTGATATTTGACGCCAGGAAGAACACACAGCATCTCAAATAACAGGTTAGCGGCAATCAAGGCTGTGGTACCCAGGGGGTCATAGGCGGGACAAACCTAAAATAAAAAAAAAATCAACAACAATTAATCACAGATACCAAGTTGTAGTTCAATAATCAAGAGCCTTTCACACTATCATCTCACCTACCCGTGTTAAAATCACCAAGGGTCCCTTGGGGGCTTGGGTCAGAACGAACCCAGGTCTGCACGGTATGCCTTTCACACCTACACTAGTTTGTACTGTTTTTCTACCCAGGTTCAGAGCCTCCAATCCTGGTCCAGACTAGGGTTTAATTGTACCTGTGAATGCTGCAGCCAGACCCTAGTAGTATGTCATGGGCCAACGTGGCATGAAATGACTGACAATATATCCATTCCCCCTGGATAGGATGTTAGTTACTCCCAAGCTATTGCAGGTACCCGTTTAAAACTCCTGGGTGGAGAGAGGCCAGTGGAGGTAAAGTAGCTTGCCCGAGAACACAATTACCAGCAGCTGGATTCGAACCCCTGACCTTCTGATCATATAGCCACAAACCCTGACCACAATGCCACACTCCCCACACAGCCGGACACTATAGGGGCAGCCAAAATCTCAGGGTTTGATCCAGGTCAACACGGACATTTCTAACAGTGTAAAGGCTTTCAAAAAACTGAATTGTAAGTTGGTAGATAGTAGGAGATTTTACAACTGAGAACGATGACAACCTACCTCAACCATGTCCCCGCCGATGATGTTCAATCCCCTACAACCCCGGAGTATCTCCATAGCTTGAATGGTTGTCAGTCCGCCCAGCTCCGGTGTGCCTGTCAAATTGAACCAACAGGTTGAGGACATGTATTAAGCATTATATGACGTCACTAATCAGCAGATGCTTTTGCAAAAGAGCCTAGCCAAGCAGGCCCAAATTCACGGCTCTACCAACAATGAAATTCGGCACTACTGATCAAAATCTATGCTTACGTACCGCACTGTCCCGAAAAATTAATTATGGGCCAAATATAGAATGCTTGGTTACGAGATCTACGCATGCATAAAAGCAAAAATTCCTTGCTAACGTATGAAATGCGCTCAGAACAGCTATTAAAGTTAGCCCAGTTCAAAAACAACATGGGATGGAAATGCTGTTTGACATCAGGATTTGTTTTAAGCCGACCGCCAAATTTAAGAGAGTTTAGATCCTCACCAGTTCCCGGTGCAACTGAAGGATCCAAAGCGTCGATATCAAAGCTGATGTAGACTGGGATGTCGGGCCCAATCATCGCCCGGACCTCATCCATGAGAGGGACCATAGACTTGTACCAGCACTCCTCCACGACAACCACCTTGACACCCTGAAAAAAAAATGATGGCCAGTGACATTATTTCTTTTTCGTCACTGTCAATGAGCCCCCCGTCTTCAATTATTTTCTCATGGTCATGATCACTATCATTATATCGACATTGTCTTCAGCATTGCCACTGTTATCTATTTGCCTACTGTAAGCCCATGGATGCAAGGGTGCCCGCTACAAAGGATCAAGACCTGTTATGATAAAACAAAGAGGTATGGGGAGTTTTAAGCTGTGACAGTGAAGCACGACAGGCAGACACTGAGGCACAGATATGCTGATGGAGCAAAAACACATTCCAGAGCACCCATTCTTGTTTTACTCTACTCTCGGGGACAATGCTTTGTGTTTTCTTTTGTCCCTGTAATATAACACTCGCCCATAGACTAAGCACACAAACTTACTACAGAGGATTGTTTCCAACAAAAGACCCAACTCCCGAGGACTGAAAGGATCTGTTGTTCTCCCTTTGTGTGTCGGTCCTAAGGGGTTATGTAGAACACGTACACAATCACTAAGCTTTAACACAGCTTACCAGATCTTTCTGCCATTGATGGCAGTTGGCAGAGACCTCGGATCCCCGCAGACCGATCTGGACCATCTTCTTGGGATCGATAATCCCTTCTTCTAGAGACCGACGGAACGGCGTGCCGTGTGCAATCTTCTCTCCTAACATGATGTCCTCGCAGTCGTTGTGAGCGTCGATGTGCACCAGTCCAATCTGGCCATATTTCTCCTGAAAGACGATCGAGATAACAGATAACTGCTGAATTCTTAAAACTACAGACTGCATGTTTTTTGGCATGACGAGGAGTTCTAGGTGAGACGGTCCCAGGCGGTCCCCAGGGACTTATGCTTTTGACACACTTTATTTGAATGACAACATGTAACAACTTGGCTCGGGACAGGATGACTTGTGAGTGACTCATGTCACTGATTTGTGAGGACTTTTTAGCACGCTTAACGCCGGAGGACGTGTAAGTATATTCGCAGGGGCGGGTGACGGGTTAAATCATCAAGCTTTCACCAAACCCGGCAGTGGACGTGTACACATGTCATGGTTCCCATTGGATTTGCACACACCGTGCTTTGAACTTGAGCTTGGCCACTGTGCACGGCCTGTCGTCGTAGCAAATATCGCTCCGTGGCGGGGCCGCAGAGTGTTGCAAAATATGAAGTTGCGGTGAGAAGTATTGTACAAAAAATGTACAAATGACTCTCAAGAGAGTCAGTATTTGTGGTGTTTGACTTGATTTTAAAATTTGGCCACTAAAATTTTGTCTTTTTAAAAAGTGTTTTTTTTTCCGGCCGAATCGCGTCCTCACTGGACGATAACTCCATCGATCCGAAAAGACTCTGGTTCACTTTGATTTACCTTGACAGCTTGTAGTATGGGATAGGTGAGTGTGTGGTCTCCACCCAGAGTCAGTGGTGTACAGCCGGCAGCAAAGATCTTGACGTAGGCCTCCTTGATCATCTGAACGGCCTTCTTGAGATCGTAGAGGTTGATGTTGACATCACCAATGTCTGCCACTTGGAGGGACTCATAAGGAGCTGCCCCTACTCGGAGACCAAAGGAACTGTTTTAGAGTTGAACAAAGAAATTGACTGGGGCAGGGTTTGAACCTGCAACCTCTGGATTGCCGTTCCAGTGCTCTACCAACTCAGCTATCCAGCCCTATGTCGGTGGTTCCCTAGTTTATCAGTGTCTTTGTTCAAGGGACACTAGTCATCCGAAGCCATGAACTCATATGCCATGTAGCCAGGGATCACGCCCAAAGTCATGATGCAAGCAACATTAGCAATATGCTGCAAACCTGGGAAACAGCAAATACATGTAGGATCACTCCAGATTCAGCTTATTTTATTTATACCAAAATAGCTTGTGTGATTTGAGGCTATAAAACATGATGAGAGTACAAATTGGGAGAAGTTTGAATTTTCACATGTGGCTCTATCATTCAATGTTTAAAGATTGAAGCGTTTTTCTCTAAAGTCTTATTTACCGATTGTGTTGACGTTTCGGACGAGAACGGATTCCATCCTGATTTGGCGGGGCCCCAACCTAGCTCCTGAACGGTTGGATGTTCCTATGTCCAACGGTATGCCCACAAAACCAACATCAAGTCCTGAACAAAAAAAAGCAGGGAGATTTACAATTAGGTAACATCAGTGATAGAAACATTTCAATCAACAATGCGAAATTATCCATCAAATTTAGCAAATGGGACCTTGTAATTCACGGTAAATCGGGGTTAGGAAGTATAATGCCGGCGCCTGCAAAATATTCACTGCCTTTATTCGACCAATCAACTAGCTTGTCCGCACCTTTTGGGTCTTTTTGGAATGGTAGTCGGTACATGGTAGCAATTCCACCGGCCCTTGCACACTCCATGCCGTTCAATGGTTCGTTGAATGGTCGACCGTTTTTAGTTGGGCAACTTGAGCTAATGTGACGTGTCTGTGAAACACTTCCATTGATCAAATGTTTCAACGGAAAATGTAGCCGTGATGATAACATTCTCAGGTACCCCGCCATCTCTGTATGATAATGAAATACAAAATTAATATACAGTTCAGTTACATACAAGCACAATGCATTTTCTCCATTGTTGATCTATATTTTTACTCCATCCAAAAAAAAAGCATAAATTAATAAGAAAACGAAAATGAAACTATTTTTTAATAAATATCTTTAGCAACAAAGAAGGTTTGATATTATCACTGCGGAAAAAAGTACCAAAAAAAGGGCTAATCGTGAATACCTACTTCTACCGCGCCAGGACGAGTACTCGATCGAGTATATGAAAACCACGATTAGAACAACGAGTAGCAAACACTACTCACGAGTACTCGGGATACTCACCGAGCAGCCCAGCACTAGGTTTGGAGGAATTTTTTTAAAGGGAAATATAAGTTGAGAACCAATCGGTTGATAATCTGGTTCCAATAGCCAAAGATCCTGACGTTGACTATGATCAGGTCAGGGAACCAGACGGTCCACTGCCGTAACAACTTTTTGTTGAAGTAACGTTTCATTTCATTTTATTTCCTTAGTGCTCCTTGGCTTTGGAGGATCTTTTCTTGGGAAACAAAATCCGAGAACCATTCGGTTGATTTGTACTCTGTAGTTTGGTTCCAAGAGCCAAAGATCCTGACATGACATTGAATATTGTCCGGTCATGCAGGCCAGGGAACCAGACAGTTGACTGCCGTAACGATAGCTACTGACTGCGAAAGTTAAACCGCATGCCTACATTTATCATGTTTATAGTTAGTACATCCATCACCCATGATAAAGAATGTAGCTGCAGTAAGTACTAGTACTACTACTAGGGTAAGACCGAAATTTGTACTGTCCCTGAGCACACATACTATCATTCTAACAACAGGTGTTCCACATTACACCCCAAGGTCTTCACGTCACTCTTTTCCAAGCAATACACCCACAGCATACCAAGACTGTGATTTAACCCTTGTACAGGGGAAAGTGACCTCATAAGGGTACTCCCCCAGACTGACCATTACGTCAGTCTATGGTCAGTCTACCTTTACTCAGAAATGATGTCATATAAGTTATGTTTTCCTTATATGACATCATCTCCTATTTTCACTCCAAGTGGTCCCTCTGAAACTGTATAAAATGTCCACATTTTCCCACTTTATTGAGTTCTTCTTCTTCTCCCTGGGAAACCAGAGGCATAGCCATAAGCTGATTGGCATCAGGTCAACTCGGACCCAAACCAAGTCGGACCCATGCCAAGTCGGACCCACGCCAACTCGGACCCACGCCAACTCGGACCCACCACCAACTCGGACCCACTACCAACTCGGACCCAAGACCAACTCGGACCCAAGACCAACTCGGACCCAAGACCAACTCGGACCCAAGCACGACCAACTCGGACCCAACAATGACTTAATCATTAATTTCAGAGATTATATTTATAGGTCATCTTAATGTTACAGTGCTTATATAGTGAAGATATTTTGTAATTATATTGGTCAGAATTGGGCTTTTAGTTTTGTTGTTTGATCATACTATGTTGATTTTGCTCTCTTATTACTCATTCACTTTTTTTATGTAACTTTTCTTTTATAAATATATTATGGAACCCGACATGTATTTCCAAGCTCTATCAATTACCCGAAAAATCCGAATTTGTCCTGCCCGCATCCAAGTTGTAATTGATTGTTTTTTTAATAATTCACATGCTGTCCTTGAAGTTTGTGGGTTTTTTATACGACATTGTTTAATTTTTCATATTGTTTTTTTTATAACTTTTTTTTTATAAATATATTATGGAACCCGACATGTATTTCCAAGCTCGATCGATTACCCGAAAAAAATCAGAATTTGACTTTTTATACTTCATTTATTATGGAACCTTCGTTTTCCTTGAAGTATATGCAATGGTGTTTATGGATTTTTTTTTAAATACATGTACATGTAGAGATTAGAATAGACTTTGTTTTTATACCTTATTTATTTTATTTAATGGCTTATAATGTTTACTTATATTTATTGAATTAATAATGTCATGTTTGAAAGTGTTCATGTTTCAATGTCATACTTTCCAATTTATTTTTCTATGAAGATCTGTTCTCAATTTATGTGGTTGAATTAAAAATGAAATAAATTGCTGTTAAATTGAGCAAGATGGCGTGAATGATGTCAAATATGAAAATGAATAATTGGTTAAACTTTAATTTTAATTACTTTCGGTTAAAGCGCAATATGTTTCAATGGAAACAAATAATAAAAATAAATAATTAATTACACTTTTAAAGCGCATTTCAAAATAGCATTTCAATGGGCTTAACAACCACGACAAACTGCTGCAATACAGATATTTTACCTGACGACTACAATGAAAATTTATACTGAACAGCATGATAAGTCATTAAGTGGACAAATTTCATGAAATTGTCGAATGATTGAAAACGCTGTCGAATGATTGTAAACGATGGGTCCGAGTTGGTCATGCATGGGTCCGAGTTGGTAGTGGGTCCGAGTCGGTTGTGGGTCCGAGTTGGTAGTGGGTCCGAGTTGGTAGTGGGTCCGAGTTGGTAGTGGGTCCGAGTTGGCGTGGGTCCGAGTTGGTAGTGGGTCCGAGTTGGCATGGGTCCGAGTTGGCTTGGGTCCGACTTGGTTTGGGTCCGAGTTGGATCGAAACCAGCTGATTCAGCCCTATGCTCTGGCCAGTCTTCATCTACAAAACTCTTCAAAACCTCTGTCTTCTGTCTCCAACTTCCGTATTCTACCCAGCCATACCCATAAGCTGATGCAGCCGTATGGTCTGAGGTTATAGTTCTGCATACACAATACCGGTAGAATATTGAGTTCTTGAAAATAAACCAGTTTTCCATATAGCTGAGCTCATAGTCATTACCAGTGTGTCTTTGTATAGTCTTCGTAGTCATCTGTTCATCCTGCTCTAAGCCACAGCTACCCTATCCTAACATATGAAACAAAGCAAAGGCTATAGCCAAATCTATATGTTACACTAGCACTAGTATCCAGACGCCACTTGTTTGTGTACAAAGCCTATTGCCAATTGGCGAGTCAAGTGCATTTTCAAAGCATTTTCAAAACAGAATTGGAAATGTTTCTCAGTCCCAGATTCATGTCTTTTCAACATTGTTGCAATGACTGATGGCATTCAGTTTTAGACAAAATATGATTAACAAAAGTGGCTTCATGCAGGATGCAACATTCTTAAAACCAAAACAAAAACTGTAATTTATTGCTCACCAATATGTCACCTCGATCAGTTAGCTCGTAGTGTATAGCCACGCGATGCATGTAATGCTGACCTTTAGCCTCGACGCGACGTTCCTAGATGGTGACGTCAGTCATACCACATGGGGATTCCCCAAGTTATGAAAACTGACGACTTGGCGGACGGTTTGGGGGGGGGGGGGGGGAGGGGTAAGGGATGGGAGAGGGAGGGGGGGGGGGGGCTATGGCTATGCTGAGATTGTTTGGGGGAGGGGTGATGAGGCCGGGGGGGGGGGGGCATCATGGAGATTTACGCCCATCGTGCAAAATAGGTTTAATTAAGTTGAACTTGCTTGTATTTTGTAAACACGGTATAAATCAAATGTCAACCTAATTTTTTTTGCTGCATTGCGAAAACAAAAAGTGCAGATCACAATATCACCTATTGACATAAAAGTTTTCTCTATCTGGACAACCAATAAAGCAAAAGCAATTGTAACAATATAGCACTAAACACATTCATATTTCAAGCGCTAAAACTATATGTTTATTCTTCCAAGTAAATATTTTCGGATATAGCGTAAATAAGCTGGTTATAGTTTGAAGTCATAGAATAAAGACATTATTAATATAGGCTTGGATAAAATTGATACGTTTCTGTATTTTTAAATTCTTGATTAAAATACTGAGCTTGCTAATCTACTTTAAATCCGACTAAATCCGAATAAACTCTACATAAACAAAGCTGACGTGTACGATTATAATTAACCTGATTAACCTGATGAGCTGATCCATTATGCCCCGCCCAATGGTATTTTGACCAATCACAGCCGTGATTCGTCTCCGACATGCGTGCACGCGCGCATGACGCGCACGCACGCACCCAAAGTGTTGCATTGGAAGGGCGCGCGTATTGTTGACCACGTGTGCAGTGGGCGGGCCCTCATGAATCGGTCTCAAAATTTAGCTAAATAATTCAGTATTTTACACTCAGAAATACAAAAATGTATGAACATTGTCAGATCCATTTACTAAAGAGTACACTGCTGTTATAATGCCAAGATTTTTACAGTGCGGCAGCTACCAAAATGTTAAGGTGTTGTTTTAGCTACATGTTTCAGAAAGAAAATAAACAGTGCCCAAACATTGTCCCTATTTTTGCACCGATTACTGCCATTATATAGTAGAGCATAAAAAGTGCCTGTACATTTTGTAATTCTTCTGCAAAAAAAATACAGGGTGTTGGGTGAGTTGTTAGCATTACATTCAGGAACATTTTATCACAACAAGAAGTCTCTCTGCTTTTGTTAGGTTTTTTTTCGCACAGCTTGTTATAGAAAATGTTACCTGTATCAATGCGCGCGTGTTGTTGACCACGTGTGCAGTGGGCGGGACCTCATGAATCGGTCTCAAAATTTAGCCAAATAATTCAGTATTTTACACTCAGAAATACAAAAATGTATGAACATTGTCAGATCCATTTGCTAAAGAGTACACTGCTGTTATGGTGCGGCAGCTACCAAAATGTTAAGAAGGTGTTTAAGCTACATGTTTTGGAAAGAAAAAAAACAGTGCCCAAACATTGACCCTATTTTTGCACCGATTACTGCCATTATATAGTAGAGCGTAAAAAGTGCCTGTACATTTTGTTTTTTTCGCACAGCTTGTTCTAGAAAATGTTACCTGTATCAATGCAAAAATAAAATAAAAGAATGGGATGTCTTTGCTTATAATGTGCCAATAAACGCGATCGAAAAGAAAAAGCCAAAATTAGTAATATCAGCGTCTTGGTCTAATGTAATTATTTTAAATACCATATGAATGCTTTAATAGAGTACACTATATCAAATGGATACATAATTATTACTGTAACATACATCTTGACTAAAAAACTGAACTTGCTCATCTCCGTAATTCTTTAAATCCCACTAAATTTTCTACAAAAACAATAGAAGCAGAACATTCTCTAAAATGCGATAATTAAAACGTATACAGTATAGGCTTAGAAAACATTCAGTCTGATATTATTCTTTAAAAAGCATATAATATGCTAATACATGATTAATATATCAAATGGATACATTTTTTTCTGTAACTTACTTCCCGATTAAGATACTGAGCTTGATTATGTAAATGGTACTAAACTCTACAAAAAAGTAAGCTAGTTCAAATGCTCTACAATGCGATTATTCAAACGCTTTTATAAGTATATAATCCTAATCAAATTAATACATATCAATGCAAAAATTGTACATATTTCTGTGACTTTCAAATTCCTTAATTTTGTTCAGTCTTTTCCATCATTTTAGAGGGTAACAATTAAATGCCCGAACATTTTGCAATTTTGGTAGAAACAAAATACAGACTGTCGGATGAATGACCGTTCATGTTGCAGTGAACCCTTTGCTACAATTTCAAGTATCTCTCGTATTACTTTTTTGTACTACCTTTGTTTTCGCAATGTTCACTATAACAACGTGTATTGATGAAAGTCGTTGTGGCACATAATTATTATAACTACAACAAAATTCAGAAAATGGTAACTATCTTCGCATAATGTGACAATAAATGCGAGTTTTGATCGTCGAAACAACAGAAATTAACAACATCATCACTATAGTCTGATACAATTCTTTTAAAAGCATATAGGTCTATATAGGCTGAAACAGTATTAGTATGTCAAACTGTGCTAACTTCCCGATTAAAATACTGAGCTTGCTTATCTACAAAAATACTAAACTATACAAAATCATAAGCTCGTTAAAACGCTATAAAATCCGAAATACCTTTTTTTCTTCGAATTTGATGTTTCTACTTCTACATTTCTGATTTTAGATACTGAGCGTGCTAATCTATATAATACCTTAATAAAATCCACGAAACTCTATAAGATTTATTGCAAAAAAATGAAAGAAGTGATTGATTTCCTTTGTTAAATTAATCTGATTAGCAATAATTGACCTATCACCGTTTGCGAGTTAGCCACGCCCCAGTTAGACAACCCCATGGAATTTTTGTATGCTAAGATTTGTTTGTCTCAGATACTGAGCGTTCCGCGCCCGTTTGTATATCATGTATTTGGACCATATTTCACAAGCTGTGTTACGCAACTCTAACGCGATTCTACCACGATAGGTCAATTATAGGCCGATCCCTAAGTATTTTGACCAATCACAGCCATGATGCATGTCCGACATGCGTGCACGCGCGCATGACACACACGCGGTACGCGCACGCGCGCTCCTTGAACATGCAGTGTGCCATTGTAATTGGAGAGGCGCACGTGTTGTTACCAAATGGATTGGTCGTTTGAGACGTAGATTTTAAAATGTTCCTATTTATGATTTCGCAACACCCTACTCATGCACACACAAAAATATATCTATAACAGACGGTGTAATATATTTTTAGAGTACACTAATTATTATTTGAGTATACCGATGGTAAAAAAATGATCAGCGCGCAGCAAATACGCATTATGAGCAAAATTCTGATGATCATAATTTTTGTTGAAATTATTCAGCATTAGGCTCTTGGAAGGAAACACACTACAGCTAACAAATCTGAACACTTCCATTGAACCCTTCTTTGGGGGCAATGATGCTCACTGATGTCATAGTTGATATGTATTTTCTAATCCAGTTCTTTCTCCGTGTAAGTCATTTCTAGTATTTTAAAGGCATCTTTTTATTGAATAAAAACATAAAAACAAAATTGTTTCCTTTTTAAGATATTTTCTGATATTATTGTGCTAACGTTTTTACAATCATTATTCATTATGTACAGGGTGTCTTTAAAATGTCGAACCCTAAAAAATTATCACCCCATTTTTCATAGCCATTAAAAACATAAACCCGGGTCCCGGGTTTTTTTTTTGAGACACCCTTTTTAATATTTTGCGTCCTAGATTTACACAGATATGATATTTTCAAAGATTTACTCATCCATCAGTCGTCGTTTAGTTTTGTGCTGCGGGCATGGCCTCAAGTTCAAGTACATGTATTCAATATTCTATATTTATTGTGCTAGTTAACGTTTTAGTGATGAAACCAAAACTGTATAAATGAGAGCCCACAGAGACGAATATTTTCAAACATTTAGTATTCATTCATCGATCGTAGAGGTCGTTTGTTGTGATGAAGGCTTGGCCTCGACTGGGATTTCTTCCTTCTTTTGCGGTGGTTTCTTGCGTAGTTTCTTGAGGCAAACATCCAGGAATGTGTAGAGATAAGGATTGATGGAGGAGTTGATGGGAAGGATGAAGACAACGCTCCAGACGAAGACCTCAGGATTGTTCTCGACCACACCAGCCTGGAAGAGAATTCCCATGATAATGACGGGGATCCAACACAGGAAATCTGTCAAGACAATGGCCGCCATCTTGACGGCCATCCGAACCTCGCTTTCATCTCTCGTGCTGCAGCTGCGCACTCGTCTGGCTGTCACTTTGACTTTGACAAAGATGGCGACGTAGCAGGCCAGAATGAGGCAGAAACAGAACAGATTGACACCCAGGAACAGAACGATAGAAAAGACCCAGGTAGCGGACTGGCTGGTCGGTACAGGTCTGGCGAGGGTCACGTTACCGAATCTTTCAACAGGTCCGACGATTGGCTCTATTTTATATTCTGTAATGTTGGTCGTCAGCGGTAGACCAATGCAAACATCTGAGAGACCGTAAGCGTCAGACGCCTCATCCGAAGCCAAAACTGTAGAGACCACGGCAAGAATGACCGTCAGGAGCCAAACGAAGCCCACAACAATCTTAGCCACCTTGAAAGTCAGACAACGATTGGTGAAAAACGGGAAGACAATAAACATGAATCTCGCGACGCTGATGAGAACTAAGAGAAACACAGACGCTTCGTTGGCCATGATGGAGATGAACCCTGCTGCTTTACACGCGGGGCTGGTTCGCCACTTGTCAGACTCCTCGAAATAACGGGCCCCGAAGTACATATCAGCCCCCGCTATGATCAACATGTACAAGCCCATCAGAGCATCAGCTGCAGCGAGATTGAACACCAAAAACGAATTAATCATCCCACTGGCACGGTTCCCCGTCTTCTCCCGACACCTCCAAACCATGACAAAGAGATTA